GAGTGTGTGTGTGTGAGTTTGACCTGGTAATGAAGGTTTGTGTGTCGTATCGCTCAAGTTGCCGGTGGTGAATGTAACTTCAATCTAAATGAAAACACACATTAGAGTTAATTAAAGTAAAACTAAAGCATAACAATTTTATGTAACTTGAAATAAAATAAATGTTAACTAAACTAAAATATATATATTTTTAAATTATTTTAATTCAGCTATTTGCCAAGGCCACATTGTCATTTTCATTTAGTTTATCTTGATATACTAAAATAACTAAAACAAAAAAAGGAATGAAAACTATATAGACATATACAGTGGGGCAAAAAAGTATACGTTAACACTGCTATTTTAAGGCACCAAAAACACAACGAAAATGTCTTAATGACTGAGTTAAAATATTTGTTCTTTTTACTGATTCGTTCATTTGAATCAAATACACGCGAGAATCCTGAGTCAATTAGAAATTGATTCCACATCCTGCAGTTTAACTCTTTCCTGTCCATTCAGGGACAAACTATCAGTACAATGGACATTTATAAGGTGCAACAAGAACAAAGTATTGTAATGTGCTGATGTAAAAGCACCTTACAAGAGAAAGAAAGAAAATACTTTTTAAAATGTTAAATCAATCTCTAAATAAACAACTCAGCAAACACGATAACGGAGAGCGTCAATTTATAAATGACTGTAAATATTTATAAATTGTTTTCTATGTCGGTGTTTTATATTGTTTAAATGTTCTTTCTACATTTAAACATTGTTTAAATCTAATATATGTAAAAACAATGAAAGGAATATCATCAATCTATATTAATAGCAAGCTATTTGAATATATACTCACTGTATGCCATCTGAATATCTGTCCACCAAATATATATCTGAATATCTATCAAATATTTATCAGAAAATATATCAATCCATTATCTGAACATGTATCCATCTGTATATCTATCCTTCTGTCTGAATATCTATCATCAAATATCATATCTATTTGAATATATCAATCTATCTGAAAATGTATCTATCTACCTATCTATCTTAATGCCAATCTTTATGATAGATAGAGCTTCTCTCAGAAGGAAACTGATTCATTTCCTAGCAGCTATAAGAAATGCATTATGCTGTATTGAAATGTGCCAAGGAGCACGTAAAGATCTAAATTACACATCAAACAGCGGTTTACCTCCGGGGTGGCTCGCCAAAAACACCAGCAATGGATCTCAGGATCACAAACACATAAAAGCGCTCTCAAACAGCGCCAGTGTTGACTGTAATTCTCATTTGTATCATAAACATGTTTAACGAGATGCATGAATATCAAAAAGAGAGACCAAGACAAACAAACACATTTGAGCGGTTTTATTCACTGATATTCATCCAGCAGCAGTAGCATGAGACTGTTTTCGTGTGTGTGTGTGTGTGTGTGTGTGTGTGTGTGTGTGAGAGAGAGAGTGTGTGTGTGTGTGTGTGTGAGAGAGAGAGTGTGTGTGTGTGTGTGTGTGAGAGAGAGAGTGTGTGTGTGTGTGTGTGTGAGAGAGAGAGTGTGTGTGTGTGTGTGTGTGAGAGAGAGAGTGTGTGTGTGTGTGTGTGTGAGAGAGAGAGTGTGTGTGTGTGTGTGTGTGAGAGAGAGAGTGTGTGTGTGTGTGTGTGTGAGAGAGAGAGTGTGTGTGTGTGTGTGTGTGAGAGAGAGAGTGTGTGTGTGTGTGTGTGTGAGAGAGAGAGTGTGTGTGTGTGTGTGTGTGAGAGAGAGAGTGTGTGTGTGTGTGTGTGTGAGAGAGAGAGTGTGTGTGTGTGTGTGTGTGAGAGAGAGAGTGTGTGTGTGTGTGTGTGTGAGAGAGAGAGTGTGTGTGTGTGTGTGTGTGAGAGAGAGAGTGTGTGTGTGTGTGTGTGTGAGAGAGAGAGTGTGTGTGTGTGTGTGTGTGAGAGAGAGAGTGTGTGTGTGTGTGTGTGTGAGAGAGAGAGTGTGTGTGTGTGTGTGTGTGAGAGAGAGAGTGTGTGTGTGTGTGTGTGTGAGAGAGAGAGTGTGTGTGTGTGTGTGTGTGAGAGAGAGAGTGTGTGTGTGTGTGTGTGTGAGAGAGAGAGTGTGTGTGTGTGTGTGTGTGAGAGAGAGAGTGTGTGTGTGTGTGTGTGTGAGAGAGAGAGTGTGTGTGTGTGTGTGTGTGAGAGAGAGAGTGTGTGTGTGTGTGTGTGTGAGAGAGAGAGTGTGTGTGTGTGTGTGTGTGAGAGAGAGAGTGTGTGTGTGTGTGTGTGTGAGAGAGAGAGTGTGTGTGTGTGTGTGTGTGAGAGAGAGAGTGTGTGTGTGTGTGTGTGTGAGAGAGAGAGTGTGTGTGTGTGTGTGTGTGAGAGAGAGAGTGTGTGTGTGTGTGTGTGTGAGAGAGAGAGTGTGTGTGTGTGTGTGTGTGAGAGAGAGAGTGTGTGTGTGTGTGTGTGTGAGAGAGAGAGTGTGTGTGTGTGTGTGTGTGAGAGAGAGAGTGTGTGTGTGTGTGTGTGTGAGAGAGAGAGTGTGTGTGTGTGTGTGTGTGAGAGAGAGAGTGTGTGTGTGTGTGTGTGTGAGAGAGAGAGTGTGTGTGTGTGTGTGTGTGAGAGAGAGAGTGTGTGTGTGTGTGTGTGTGAGAGAGAGAGTGTGTGTGTGTGTGTGTGTGAGAGAGAGAGTGTGTGTGTGTGTGTGTGTGAGAGAGAGAGTGTGTGTGTGTGTGTGTGTGAGAGAGAGAGTGTGTGTGTGTGTGTGTGTGAGAGAGAGAGTGTGTGTGTGTGTGTGTGTGAGAGAGAGAGTGTGTGTGTGTGTGTGTGTGAGAGAGAGAGTGTGTGTGTGTGTGTGTGTGAGAGAGAGAGTGTGTGTGTGTGTGTGTGTGAGAGAGAGAGTGTGTGTGTGTGTGTGTGTGAGAGAGAGAGTGTGTGTGTGTGTGTGTGTGAGAGAGAGAGTGTGTGTGTGTGTGTGTGTGAGAGAGAGAGTGTGTGTGTGTGTGTGTGTGAGAGAGAGAGTGTGTGTGTGTGTGTGTGTGAGAGAGAGAGTGTGTGTGTGTGTGTGTGTGAGAGAGAGAGTGTGTGTGTGTGTGTGTGTGAGAGAGAGAGTGTGTGTGTGTGTGTGTGTGAGAGAGAGAGTGTGTGTGTGTGTGTGTGTGAGAGAGAGAGTGTGTGTGTGTGTGTGTGTGAGAGAGAGAGTGTGTGTGTGTGTGTGTGTGAGAGAGAGAGTGTGTGTGTGTGTGTGTGTGAGAGAGAGAGTGTGTGTGTGTGTGTGTGTGTTAGATCTTGTTGAACGCCGCAACATCCACACTCTGAACCTGCAACACAAAACAAACACGTCAAGCTTCACGTGACATTTGAAGACTGAAGCGCACAGTTTTTGGGAACGTTACTCACGTAGTCCTCAAACTTGGTGATCTCCTCCTCCAGGAAGTCTGTTCCCACCTTGTCGTCCTCCACCACGCAGTTGATCTGCAGTTTCTTGATGCCGTAACCCACAGGAACCAGTTTGGAGGCTCCCCACAGCAGCCCATCCACCTGCACCGACCGCACGCACTCCTCCAGCTTTGCCATGTCCGTCTCGTCGTCCCACTGCGAACGCCAGGAAAAAACGGTTTAAAAACCTTGAGAAGCCTGGCCAGAAAGATTGAAGCCATTTAAAGGGGTCATATTCTTCACAAGTTTTACGTTCTCTTTGGAGTGTTAAAAGCTGTCCTCGTTCTAACACGCCCCCACCGGTTTAAAAACCTTGAGAAGCCTGGCCAGAAAGATTGAAGCCATTTAAAGGGGTCATATTCTTCACAAGTTTTCCGTTCTCTTTGGAGTGTTAAAAGCTGTCCTCGTTCTAACACGCCCCCACATGTCTACGTCACCGCCGCCATGTTGTGAAGAATCTGACGTTTCCCTCAGGTGTAGATCTGCTGAATATGCAAATGGTTCCATAAATTTCATTCCTTATATTTCTTTTCTGTACTGAGTTAAGCTTTAACCCTTTCCTATACCAACTGTATGCGTGTGTGTGTGTGTGTGTATGTGTATGTTAGACCAGCTTAATGTGTTTATGTAGTATGTTAGACTAGTTTAAGTGTTTATGTAGTTAATAAAACCTTACTTGTATCACACTTGACGTGGTTCATTGTTTGCTCATAACTGGAGTCACTTAATCATGCAGATTTATGCTACAAGCTTTTGTAGAATTGTACAGTAAGAAAGTTATTTCCCTTAACCAGGAAATTAACGTTCTTAGAATTGACAAGACAGTTGACCCTGAGTGGTCAGCTAAATATCTACAGCGGATCTAAAATATTCATAATTAATTATAACTAGTTATGGTTAATTATTCATATTTCCCCATGAGCTGATTCGCTACAATAATGTTCTTTTTAGCAACATCATATGACCCCTTTAAAAGATTTTAAGGTAATTCAGTCTATCAGACAAATGGATAAACTGTCATGCGGTTGCTAGGGTATTACGAATGGATGCTTAGTGGTTGCTAGGGTGTTCTCTGTGATTGCAAAGGTGCTGTTAGGAAGTTCTGAGTGGTTGCTAGGTGGCTGATAGGACATTGTAAGGTGGTTATTGGGTGTTCTGTATTGCTGTTGATTTATAGTGAGTTCTGAACATTTGCTAAGGCTTTGCTACACGATTACTAGGGTGTCCTGAGTGGTTGCTAGGGGGTTATGGCTGGTTGCTAGGCATCTGTTAAGGTGTTCTGGGTGGTTGTTAGGGTGTTGCTAGGGGTTTTGGGTGGTTGCTAGACAGTTGCTGGTGTATTCTGGATGTTGCTAGGGAATGTTCTGGGTCATTGCTAGAACACTGCATGATGGTTACTGGGTATTCTGTGTTGCTGTTAGAAAGTTGTTATGTGGTTGGTAGGGTGTTGTGAATGTTTGTTAAGGTTTTGCAATGCAATTGCTAGTGTGTTCTGGGTGGTTGCTAGGAGGTTGCTAAAGTGTTTTATGTTGTTGCTATGTGTTACTGGGGTGTTCTGGGTGGTTTGGTTGGGCATTGCTGGGGGTTCTGAAGGTTGCTAGGTGGTTGCTATGGTGCTCTAGATGGATGCTAGGTAGTTTCTTGATGTACTGGGCGGTTTAAATGAAAATTTGAAATATTGTCAACTAACCAAAATAAGTTACATTTGTACAAAATTACTAAGAACTAAAACTGAAAAAGATCAAACTAAATGAAAAAATAAAAGATTAAGCTAAAATTAAAAATTACAACTCAAAATAAAAAAATAAACACCAATTCAAAATATTAATAAATAACACAATACTAAATTAATAGTGCTAAAATAACACTGGTTGCTGTTGTGTTCTAAGTGTTTGTTAGGGTGTTGCTATGCAGTTGCTAGGGTGTTCCAGGTAGCTATTAGTTTGTTTCTATGTGGTTGCTAGGATAGTCCAGGTAGCTATTTGCTATTTGGTTGCTATGCAGTTGCTAGGGTGTTCCAGATAGCTGTCAGGTTGTTTCTATATGGTTTCTATGTGGCTGCTAGGGTGTTCTAGGTAGCCGTTAGACTGTTGCTATGTGGTTGCTATGCGGTTACTAGGGTGTTCCAGGTAGCTGTCAGGTTGTCTCTATATGGTTTCTATGTGGCTGCTAGGGTGTTCTAGGTAGCCGTTAGACTGTTGCTATGTGATTACTATGCGGTTACTAGGGTGTTCCAGGTAGCTATTAGGTTGTTTCTATGTGGTTGTTAGGGTAGTCCAGGTAGCTATTTGGTTGTTTCTATGTGGTTGCTATGCAGTTACTAGGATGTTCTATGTAGATATTAGGTTGTTTCTATGTGGTTGCTATGCGGTTACTAGGGTGTTCAGGATGGTTGCCTGTTTTTCTGGGCAAAACATTTTAGAACTAGAACATTTAAGAATACTTCCAGGTCATGTGTCAACAAAATAAAAATACTTACCGGTTTGACGTCTAACAGGATGGATGATTTAGCGATGAGGGCAGGTTTTTTGGCCTTTTTGGCAGCGTATTCCTGCAGCCGTTGCTCTTTCAGTCTCTCGGCCTCCTCGTCCACCTCTTCATCGCTGCCGAACAGGTCGATGTCATCCTCACCCTCATCTTCCTCCTCCTGTTTTGCTGGAGCGGGCGGGGCTTTCTGGGGAGAGGCAGGACCGGTGCCGTTAACGGTCGGTGCTGTCGACCTTTTCTCTAGCGCTGACACGCGACTCTCCATCTTACTGAGAGCAGAACGCAGCTCCTCCACCACTGAGAAACACAACGAGAGCAATTAAGCAAGTGCTTGCAGAAGATTAAGCAAAATGTAAATAAATGACAGCTCATATGCAAATATTATGACATTACCA